TGCGTTCTTGTCTTCTGTTCGTTGCTAATGGTCAACTCAGTGATCTCAAATGTGTCCCAACTACCATCTCCATTCACTCCTGTTTTTCCTAAAAATACATCATGGCATGTCAACTTAATAATAAATAATGTCTTTAATAACAGTTTGGACATGTTATGAGACCCTTTCGTGACGATCACATCCTGTGGTGGGACTTGAACTCTGACCTTCCTGCCTGTGGCAGGGACTCTACCATTTGTGACCCTTTCAAATTCAAGTTTTCTTAACAATATCCCAATACAATACTTGAAAATTGAGGCATATCATCACTAAGCTTATATACATTATAACTAAAAATAAACCTTATTGATTAAACAAATGAGGTGAAATCTGACAACTGTGTCCCTTCATCAGTTTAAGGTGTGCCTATTTCTAATGCCTTCTCACGCCTTAGAGATGGTTCCTTGTTTTGATGCTACAGCCTTAGCTGTAAATTTTTTTCTCCTTTTAAACCAGAAGAATGACAAGCTGCAGACTGCATTCTCCCTTTCTGGGTCACCGTGTCTGTCTCATATTATGATAGAGTAGACGTCGAAGATGATTCTACTGGTAGGATGGAATAGGATCTGAGGGTACAGCATCTGAGTGAAAGGATGACCCTTCAGAATTGGGATGACGAATTTATGCAGCTAGAGGGTGGTCAATCTGTGGATCTCGTTGCCACCGAAGTCTGTGGAGGCTAAGTCATTGAGTCTATTTAAGACAGCTCTTGATTAGTAAGGGAATCAAGGGTTGTGGGGAGAAGGCAGGATAATAGAGTTGAGAAATACATGATTGAATGGCGGAGTAGACTAGTAGGGCCAAATGGTCTAATTCTACTCCTGAATCTTATGGCCTTATGAACCATTGAAACTAGTTGACTGCCTCTGTTTGACACGCACAATGGTTGTCCCGTTTGTGTCGCTTACTGACTAATTTGTACTATTGTTTCAGGCTTGACACTTCAATGGAATAGGAGGCCGAAGTAGTTGATGTGATTCTTCAGACTTAGTCAAGAATAACAAACACCAAAATTGACACAATTTCATATTATCACCTCACATGGGATTCCTTCTATGCAGTCTGCATTGTTGGATCATCTGTCTTTTCCTGCTTCCCCATTGTCCTAACTAATCTCCACCATTAATATATCTGAATTGAGACAGTGATCACAAGATATGATCAACTAGCTGAGTTTATTTTTTTTTAAATTAACCTATTTTCAAAACAACCTGTTCAGAGATAGCATTACACACCTCTGGAGCAGATGGGACTTGAGCCTGGGTCTCTGCGTCCAGGGGTAGGGACACTATTGGGGTCTCACTAGCTGAGTTAGAACTCTGCACTTGAGATGGTACTCATGATATTAGTTAATAATATTACTAAGCCTAAAAAGCTCATTTTGCTTGCATGTCCAATATTTCTGAATTTAAGAAACTAATAGATTTGCCATTACTTGAAAAAAAGGGTCAAAGTATCATTAATTTTTGGAAATATTTCAGCAAGTATTTGGAATGACCTTAATGTCTTAAATGGGGGATTATATTCATGCATAAAATTGCTTTAATTGTGTTGCAAGTGTAGAGTTGTTTGAAGTATATGTTTTGTGCTTGCTCAAAGTAAGAGATGTTGCTGGAGAATGGAACTCTTATCAACTTAGGGTTCAGTATCTGCAATAAGAAATCTCAACAAGTCTGGTGTGACTCAACAAATGCATGTAGTTAAAGCTGCCTTTGCATTGCCAAAAATGTGCAGACACACTGCACCAACATAACATTTATTTTCTCTCTAACAAAAATGCTGTCATTTCATCATTTTAGTTCAAATTAGGAATGCTTTCTGTACAGTGTCCAATACCCACCTACTGTTGAAACTACCGTGGATTAAGACTCTGTTTTCAGTGTTTAAAGTAGGCACTTGCAGCGATCATTTCAGTTTAGGCTGAAATTTTTTTCTTCATTCATGGGATGTGGGCATCACTGACTGGATTTACTGACCAGAGTCTAGTTAAGAGTCAACCACTTTGCTGTGAGTCTGAAGTCATACGTGGAATAGAATCCCTACAGTGTGGAACCAGGTCATTTGGCCCATCAAGCCCACACTGATCCTCCAAAGTGCATCCCACCCAGACCCACACCCCTACTGTATAAGGGTGGCAGATTTCCTTCCCTAACCTAGAACAGTTTTCCTTGACAATTTGCAATGGTTTCATCATTAAACTCTTATTTCCAGATTATTGTTGAATTCCGATTTCATCATCTGCTCTAGTGGCATTCAAACCCAGGTCCCAAGAACATTATCTGGTTCCCTAGATTAGTAGTCTAGTGATAATACTACTAGGCCATCGCCTATCCCTGCATTGAGTCCAGATCTCAGTGGTACCAGTATATAGGCACTGTACTGTTTAGTTCCCAAAAATATTCATTTACAGATCTTTCAAAAGATATTACACCATAAGCATGTGTGTAAGCAGCACACTAGTGGTTGGGGGAGTATGGCATTTCCAACATATGATAGCTGCAGCTCAGTTAGTTGTTCACGCAGAGACTGGTGAGCTGAGTTGCGCGTGAAAGATGTTTGGGCATCTCTGACAATGAATGAAAGCCCATAAATTTTCATCGTAAGAATTCATTTAATAAAATGAGCTTTAACCAGAAATTTCCTTTCTTATTACTGATTTCATTTAAGTATGTTTTCTTGGACGTGTAGGTTGGCTTATCAGATTTTCTTAGCATAGAGTTGCTATCGGTTGTGTAAAATCATTCTAGTGAATAGACATCCCAGTCATTATGTGAAATGGGGTCTATCAGGAGAAGGTCCATGGCAAATCTGGAGAGAGGGAAAGAATATTGACCCTCTTGTACTCTTGGGTAATTCGGGTTTCCTTTTTTTTTTAAACATTCTATTCGTGGAATGTGGGGTGCCGCTGGCTGGGGCAGCATTTGTTGACCATCCCTAATTGCTTTTGAAGAGCCACTGTCTTTAACTGCTGCACCCACAGTGCCATTATGCAGTAAGTTCCAGGATTTTGACGAAATGACACTGAAGAAAGAGCAATGTATTTCCCAGTCAGGATGGTGTGCTGCTTGGAAAGGAACTTGCAGTAGGTGTTATTTCCATGTATGTAGACATTATCTTTCTAGGTGGTAAAGGTTGCATGTTTGGAAGGTGCTGACCTTGAAATGGGAGAAAATATTATCAATGAATGCTTCCTTTGACTTGGAGCTTCTATTATTTAAAAGTTAATTTAATTTTTATTTGTTCATAGTGTATCTAAATTACAGCAATTTTGTGAAGCCTGAATCTAAATTACAATTTAAGTTTAAAATGTGACAAAATGATAAAACCATGTAGGGCATAAGAAGAAAAATAACAACATGCTTTTACAGCTGGATGGCTGATAGTTGCAAAGAGTAATGCTTTTTGCTCATGTTGAGGATGTGTTGCTGCTGGTATGCCATAAATGTTAGTAATGCCTCCACTTTTTTGTTGCGGGGCCAAGATACAATTTGGGGTTTGTGCCTAAGGAATATGATGTTGGAGTTTTCTTAATAGTACAAAGTTAGAAGCTTAACAAACTGCAAAGATGCATATATGACTTTTGGACTAGTCAGGTGATGGACAGAATTTGGTGTGGACAATTGTGATGACCTGTAGTTAGAGAAAGAAAGACTTGCATATAAATAGTGCTTATAACAACCATTGTACATCTCAAAGGATTTCACAGCCACTTAAATAATTTTGAAGTGAAGTCAACTGTTGTAAAATGAAAAATGTAAATAATTTGCACACTACTACTCCAATGATAGCAACGTGATAATGTCTAGATAATTTGTTTGTGATATTGAAATGCAGAATAAATATTGATCAGGACATTTGGGAATAACCCTCCTTTTATTTGAAAATAAGGTGTCTTCACGAGGGACAGCAAATCTCTGTTTAATATGCCATCTGAAAGAGGGCACCTCTGATGGTGCAGCACCCACTCAGTACTGTGAGTACAGAGTGGAAGCCTTGATTTTCATGTTAAATCCTTGGAGTGGAACTTAACTGCAATAAATCAAAACTGAAATTCTGGTGGAGTACTGAAGGGAGTGTTACGCTGTTGGGGGCCTTGTCTTTCAGATGAGCATGTAAAGGGAAACCCTGTCTACCTTCTGCAGTGGAAGTAAAAGATCTCATAGCACTATTTTGAAAAGCAGGGAAGTTATGCCCAATGTTCTGACAATATTTATCCCTCAATCAATGTCGCAAAAACTGATTATTTGATCATTGTCATATGGTACTTGTGGGAGTTTATGGACATAACTGCTACTGCATTTCCTATATTAGGATAGAAACTAATATTTCAAAATCACTTTGGTTGTAAAACTTTGGGACACCTTATGGTCACAAAAGGCACTACAACATAGAAATGTTAAGTCCCTTATTGAGGTTGGGAAAGCAAAGAAGATTTCATTTCCTATCCATAAGTTATGATTTATTGTTTGAAATTTGGCATTTTTGTACTGATGAGCACTTGTTATAGCAACTTGTCTTTTTCAATAATATGTAATTTAATTTATATTTAATGCAAGTCAGTAATGTTTGGAGTAGTTTTGACATGAAGAGTTTTGATTTTAAAATTTCCGCTGATAGAAAAAAACAGGTTGAGAGATTTGATATGCATGATAGGCATGAAGTTGATCTATTTAATGGGGATTTGGTTGAGGTGAGCACTTGAATTTTTGCTGTTGGAAAGAGGCAGATTTTGTGGAATTAATGAATGAGAGGGAAAATGATAGAGTTGCAACTCTTGAAAAGGTAGTACAGATTAAAGAGCTGACTTCTGTGCTGGATCATTCTGCAATCTATTTCGCTGAATAGTGCCTCAAATTGTAAGTATGTACAATTCTCTACCAATGAACATAAAATTGTACTAAAAGGGGGGGGAAAATTGACTTTTGAAGAAATACTTTTCTAATCTTATTACTGCTTTACAGTCTTACTTTGTAACAGATTATGACCCAACAATTGAAGATTCCTATACCAAGCAATGTGTTATTGATGACAGAGCAGCAAGATTGGATAGTAAGTAATCTGAATCCGATTAGCCACGTGCATGTAAATGCTTTCATGTTTTTTTGGGCAGACTGTGATATGGGCATCCTTGTACAAGGTTGCATGATCCATAAATTTAAACCATGCTTGAATGATTATTTGGAAACCGTAGGCTGGATTTTCCAAGCAGTTGTTCCCGTCCCTTCTCCTTTACAGAAGGAGAGAGCTCTGCATCTCTGAGAAGAGATGCAGATTGTGGCTTCTTCGGACATGTGGAGCCATAGTTACATTCTGACAGGTCTTTCATAGTGCAGTGCTGTTGGACAAGGCAACCTATGCTCCTAAGCAGTCAGTTGTTGTAATCTGGAATTTCAAGGTCCGGAATTGAAGGCAATCGATTTGCTTGCTGCTGGCAAATGATAAGTTGAAAAAAAGGTGGGTGTGTGGGGGGTTTGCAAAGTGTCATGGGGGCCTGGTGCATTGCGCACTGTTTAGGGTAGATTCAGGAGAAGGGGGCTGTTGGGTTTGGGGTGGATGAGTGGTGGAGGTGGGGCAAGTGTGCTTAGAGGGCATGGGGGTGTGGATGAAGAGGGGCAGGTCAGATCTGATCTGGGCAAATGTAAATAGTTTGGGAAATGTAGTTAGGCAGTATGGGGTAAATATTGGGCCATTAGAATCAGTATCAGGAGTTGGACCGTGTATTTTAAGTGCAACTTTTCTTGAGTAACTATTCATTCAATTTCATCAGAACCCACTGAATTCTCCAATTTAAATGGAGACTTTTGGAGGGTTTCAGGCATAGGGTAATTGCCCAGGGGAATCTTCAACTTCCCCTGTGTCTTCTACACTGGCAATTCCACAGAGCCCAAATGTGCAACTTCCAAGGAATGAATTGTCTGGCCATTGGAAAATCCATATCCAAGTTTTCTGTTACACTATACTGCGTGTAGTTTGCATCCTTTTTAGATTAGAGAGTCTGTTTTAGAATGAAAAATAGGATTGTGTTGACTCCAACTTAGATGCCAACTATGTGTTTGTGCTAACTGTAACGTAGCTAATTTTATACTGTTGAGAGGAACAATCTGCTTATCCATGTTAGAATCTTCATAATAAGTGTGACGGTATGAAATAATTGAGACACTAATTAAATTTCACTAAAATATTTTTGATTTGTGATGTGTTAAAGGCAAACTTGATGGTCATAAAGTCATAGAAGTCTGTAGCCCAGGAGAAAAGACCCTTCAGTCCATTATGCCCTTACTGGTCAAAAGCAGCCACCTAACTATTCTGAACCCATCCTTTAGTACTTGGTTCATAGCCTTGTGTGCCTTGGCAAGTGTACAGTTAAATATTTCTTAAATATAATGAGGGTTTTTGTCTCTACCTTCCTTACAGGCAGAGAATTCCAGATTCTCACCACCTGAAGATGCTTTTCTCCTCTCATCTCCTCTAAACCTGCCACCTCTTACCTTAAATCTATGCCCCCTTCATCAAGCAGAAAATCTTGTCCTCGTCTACTATCTTATGCCTCTCATAAATTCCATACATCTCAATCATATCCCCCCTCAATCTCCTGTGCTCTAAAGAGAACAACTCCAACCTGTCCAATTTCTTTTCATAACTCAAACAGCCAGAGTAACTTGCTGGTAAATCTCCTCTGCAAGGTCTCCAGTGCTATCACAACCCTCCTAATGATATGGATTCCAGAACTAATACACAGTACTGTAGCTGCGACCTGAACAATGTTTTATACTGTTCCAGCATAACCTCCCTGCTTTCAGACTTTATGCCTCAACTAATAAAGGCAAATACCCCATACATCATCTTAACCACTTTATCCACCTTACTGGTACCTTATCTTGCTGATCCTTGGCGCTTTCCAGGGCCCTCCCGTTCATCATGTATTTCTTCGCCACCTCATTTTCCACTTGGGGACCCTGCCAGCCCTCCAGACTCAATATGGAGTTCAATAATTTTAGGGCCTAAACTCTTCCCTGTCCTCGCCCCCTACCCCACACACCAGGCTTTGTTATCACATAGCCTGCCATTACACACGACCTATTGTTAGCCACTAACAGTCTCCATTAACAGCTATTCACCCTCCGAGCCAGATCTTTATCAACTCCTTTGTCTATCAAACTGCTTTTCTCTGACTTTGGGCTCTATCCTGTCGTTTACTCCCTGCCGCATTCCCCTCCCTGTTTTCTGCATATAAACCAATGTTTTCCCAGCTACCATCAGTTCTGAGGAAGGGTCACTGGACCCAACATGTTAACTCTGATTTTTTTTCTTCACAGATACTGTCAGACCTGCTGAGCTTTTCCAGAAACTTCTGTTTTTGTTCCTGATTTACAGCATCCGCAGTTCTTTCGGTTTTTATTTCTTTGCCTTGTTTGTTCTGTCTAAGTGCAACATCTAATTTATCAGGATTGAATTCCATTTACCACTGATCAGCCTCTTCCCAGATGTTGCTGGGGTGGTAAACAGTTATCATCTGTGAATTTAGTGAGCAACTCTCAAGTCTAAATCCTTTACATAAACCACAAACATCAACAATGACACCAGTGTTGCGATAAGAATTTAATCAACTGGTCTGCAGCATGCTGTTGATTTCAAATAATGGGCAAAACCAAAGAGCAATTGACTTTCAATTAATTTTGCCTGCATTTACTTTACTCACCGAATAGTTGATGATCCAAAAAAATCAAAAGAAGGTAATTTAGTATATCAGGCTAAAGGTTAGTTCAATTTCCGCACATCTTAGAAATCCAAAAGAATCTGATTTGGTAACGGTTAATGAGTTCAGATAAGTAACTGCAGGACAGCTTTTTGAAAAAAAAAAGTGAAACCTGGCTGTGAAGATGGTTATGTAATTATAAAATTATCTGCTATTTTCCCAACATGTACCTGCCCTTCTGCACAGCCCTGAAATCTGAGTGCTTATGATTTTTCAAGTTGACTTTTGCATTCTAACATCCTTGTTGATGTAGATGAAATTATTTCTAATCCAAGTACTGTCAATTCTTTTCATGAAAATGCAGTGGTTGATCATTTTGTGCAACGCACCTCTTTTCCTTAGACCATACAACAAAGCAGATTACAGAAAGTATCATTCATAACGTGGAGTTTTTATTTTGCCATCTAGTTTTAGACACAGCAGGACAAGAGGAGTTTGGAGCCATGCGTGAACAATATATGAGAACAGGGGAGGGTTTTCTGCTCGTCTTCTCTGTCACTGATAGAGGAAGGTATGCTTAAAAACATGACCCACGAGAAAGTTTGCAATGCTATATTTACTGTAGAGTGGAAAGTCTCATTTTCACTGTTCATAAATGACTGAGTTTTATGGTCAGTCAGCAGATGATTGACTTTTTGAGCTGTTAACTAACCTTTTAGGGTAATATAAGGATGGTTGTGAAGATCATGTTGCCTGTTTGACGCAATGTTAAAGATGTCATCTCATTGCCTGAAAACGCATTTGGAACAGGAGGGGGAGAATTCAATTGTCATGTCTGACTAAAGAACGAACAGCTTGGGTAGACGGAGGAACAATGTGCTGCTGAGAGAGTTTTGAGGAGTTGGGGCCCAAATTAAAATTACGATGAATTACTTGATTCAGATGGTGATCAGTGATTTCAAAGGATTTACGAGTGAAGTGTTTTGGTTAATTTGTTATACAACGATATTGCATTGGATGTGATGCCCACAGTCTATAATTTTCTTTGCAAACATTTGCTCATCTATATGAATCAGACATGAAATGTGTAACTTTTATTAAATCATTGTTTGGTAATTGGTAAGAATTCTTGGTGTTAATTTTTAGTTTATTCATTACATTTTTTATTGGACCCAAATTATGGTTATGAAGCTAAACATAGGTCATGTTTAACTGTTCGGTTGAGTGAATTAAAACTTTGTATGGTAAGGGCACACTTTTTAAAAGTTGTGCAATTTTCTTTTCATTTACAGCTTTGAAGAAATTTACAAGTTCCAAAGACAAATCCTTCGAGTAAAAGATCGCGATGAATTCCCTATGATCCTTGTTGGTAACAAAGCTGACCTGGAGCATCAAAGGCAGGTGAGCACTGAAGTGACGTTTTTGAACTTTTACTGCCTCTGTTCAAATGAAAGTTCAGCAGTTCCTTGGGTTATTGATTTTAATGTTTTGATTCATGTGTGGCTCCCTGATGTGTCCTGAAATGTCAGAATGAATACAGCCTATTTTTGTTTAAAATAGCAAATCCTTTTGTCAAAAAGAATTATAAATGCACCTTTTTACAAGAACCATCTTAAATGTTGAACTTTGTTTGATCATAGTAACTAAAATATTTTTTGAGAATGTTGAAGTATTTGTGTTAACTTTCTCTAACTCCATACAGAACATATGTGATATATTTATTATCAGAACCAAATTTATGGGATCTAGGTCTTCATAAATTGAATGGTGGAGTGCAAAATCGGTTGAAGTTATGCTGAACCTTTAGATCAGGCTACAATTAGATTCTTGTGTCCAGCTCTGGTTGCATAATTGAAGAAGAATGTAAGCATTCTGGAGAGGGTACAGAGATTTACTTCCGGATATTTCCAGGAGTGAGGGATGGTAGCTGCAAGGAAGAATTGGACAAGCTAGGGTTGGTGCCCTTGGACCGAAAGAGGTTTTAATGGAGATTTGGTAGAGTTGTACTAACTTGTGAGAGACTTAAGTAAGACAGACAAGGAAAAGATGTTCCCATCATGCGATGGTCCAAAGCTCTGGGATGTATTGTCTTAAAGTTTTGTGCAAGAGATGCAGTGGGGAATAAGAGCAAAAGCAGTTTATGCAGTCAGTGGCATTGACATGGAACATTCTGCCTATGAAGGTGGTTAAACCAGAGATGATTTCAAAAGAAATTGGATTTCTTGGAATCTCCTATTCTGTTTTCAGTCCTAGGCAGTTAAATGACTTGCCCTGATGCTATGCTTTTTTTTTCCTAATTTGTGGGAGAGTTCCATGATATTTTATTGAAAGACGGCTTGGAAAACTTGTGTTGTCAATAGCTGAAAATAACTGTGCAGAAAATAACTTTGTACTGGACTACTGATTGAAAGCTTTTGTTGGTGTTTGTTAGTCTAAATTATAGTTTTAGACTTCCTATCTCTGTCAACAATGAGGAAAATTTAGAATGGTAAAGTTTTAAATGCGTGCTTCTAAACACACATGAAGCATTAACAATATATATGCTTTGCCAGTATGTATGTCTTGAGGGATTTTTTTTGGATTTGATGTGTTCAGCTTGTAATGACGTTTTGGTCTTTTTTTTTGCAGCCCCTACCTATCTTTTGCCCTGCTATGTTTCCCATGTGCTCACAGCAGTGTTTAATTTTAAGTCTGTAATTATTGTTGTAAAATGTCTGGTTTTTGGCCATGATGTCATGTAATTGAGCAGTGGGAGTGACATGTAAGTTTTTAAAATAATAAGGGATGAAAATTTATTTGCAAAAGCAGAAAATGCTGGCACCATCTATGGAGAAACACAATATTTCAGGTACATGTCCTTTCATAAGAACTACTAGTGTGTTTATTTTGATGTAATTTGATTTCATGAGGACATCTCTATGTTGATTCTTTTTGTGACTGACATCGTTCATAATAATGCAACTGATCAAATCTCTGTAAACTCAAATAAAGAGTATACAACAGGGTAGAAGTCCTAATGAAAGCAAATGACTTGTGTATGTTCCTAACAATCTAGATTGGATGAAGTAATTGACTTGTTTTGGTGTGACCTGAATTGATCAACTGATGAGGAAGCCTGTGTGAAAACAATTACTTTATGCGATGTTAATTTGAACCTCTTGCAGTCTCGAATAGTAGTTGATTTTCTTTGTTCATTTCCATTTGCACTGTAAGCTGTGCTTTTAGCTTGCTGCACATTTCAAGGAGAAGAGCATGATGCCACGGTTGAAATCATTGTCAAAAATAAAATCGAAGTCTTGTGTTTCTGAAACTAATCAGAGATAAAATTACTCAGTTCAAAATTACATGACATTTAGTTTGAAAACCTTTGCTATTGATGGGCAAAATTTTAAAACTTAATTTTAAAATTGACCAAAGACCCTTTCCAGACATTTACAGTGACACACTATATTTTTGAGACTGAAATTTACCCGTCAAGGTCAATATTTGGCATCTTTCTGATCAAGATCTGTACCGAGAAACACCCTTTTGGTTGTCTTTAAGATGTTAGGTTTTAACCTAAGGTAGAGTTTCTTGAATGCTGGCAAAAGTGGTAAATGTTGCTGTTATTTTTAAAGTTCTCGGTTCCTGATGCTGCCTCCATGGAGCTGTTTCTGTGGGAACCAGTTGTTACTTTCTTGCAAAGAGGAATGGAAACGGCAGCTTTCCTATCAGTAATTTGCCAAGAGCTTTTGGAACCTCCATTGACATAATGGTTCCAGTGTGAATTTCTAAGAGGTTTGTTTGGATAGATCTGTTCTGTGATGGCCCATGTATCAATGCCAAGTAGTTCACATTTGTTAGTGTATTCCTGTGATTGTAATATATTTCAGTGGATGTCTGCATTATAAGGAGATTACATTGTGCCATCTCCTCCCAAATTCAGCCCCACCTCCCATTTGTTCTTTCACTTCCACCTTGAGATGATGTTGTAATGTTAAGCAGTTTGCCTAGTCTCAGTTCAAAAATGATACCAGTTCTAACCAGATGAATGTTTTAAATTCAGACCTTGAAAAATAAATGGGTATATCCTTCTGAGGGCTGTGAGTTTTAGAATATGCAGTGTATCTTATTTGTTTTACCGTTAGGATGAATGACATTTAATTAGGTTTAAATAAAATCAATGAATTGAGTTTTTAATATCAGTATTTAAATTTTACATCTCGCATTATGACCACACTATGCAACTGGAACAAACAACATTCTGTGTTGCTGCTTTGTATACTTGCTGAAGATACGCTGCTGGGATCCAGTTCAATGAGCATCTGTTGGTCTTTTGTATCTCTACAAGTGGTTGTTGGTTATTTGAGTCTAGAATGGATGTCAGGAGAAGTCACAGCTATACTAGTTTTGTTCTTATTAGCCATCTACACCAGTATCCCCACATCGACATCTGAAATAAAGACCACTGGGTGGCAATCCGTTGTAACAATCCCTGCTGTCTTTCGACCTGAATTAAATTTCAGAAGGAATGCTCATGCCATTTTGCTTTGTTCTTGGGATATGATTAGCACTGGCATTGACTGTGCAACAAATGGCAGTTAGATAGTGACCTAGAAAAATGTCCCATGTTATAATACTTTTAATTTGGATTCCTTTTCCTATAAAACTATTGTGAGAGTTGGCCAAACATTTGGTCCAAAATGTGCATTCTTTTTTAAAGAAAATCTTGAAGGAAGAGCAAGAAGGAGTTTGACAGGATGTAAATTGAATGCTTGAGTGCGTTGTCACTGTGTCTGAGTATGGGGAATGCTTAGGACATATTCAGAGGAACAGTTCTAAGGTGGCTGGAGAAAGCTGTAAAGTTGGAGGGGGACAAAGCCATGAGCATCAGCAAGGGCAGTTATAGACTTGTGGGATATAATTTATGAATAACAGTTTTGGACAAGGTGAAGTTTGCAGAGCATGGAGAAAAGGCCATTTAGGAAAACATTGTTTACGTAGAATGGATAGCAGAGAACTAAATTGTCAGCTCCCCCATTTGCCCCAGAGATGGAGCAATGAGTAAAAGGAGACATCAGCCATTCAGTCCAACTAGTTCAATGCTCCACTCCTCTAAATCGATCAGCATAACTTTCTATTCCCTTCCATCTCCTCATTCTCCAGCCTTCCCTTAAATGGGCCGTTTGTCTCAACTAGTTCCTACAGGAACTAGCGGGTCAGAAAGCATCTGTGGAGAGGGAGGAAGCTAATGCTTTGATTCTAGATGACTCCTCATCGGAGTTCAAGTGAAGTGTGGAGGGTTTGGCATTATGTTATAGTTTGGGGTGAGGTTTGTGGCATACTGGTGGAGAAAAGATGCTAGTACAGAATAATTGATCGGAATGTGAAAATGGCAGAACAATGGTGTGTCAGACTTGAAAGAGCAGAGGGTCCCACTGGGGAGGACATGATAACTGAGAATGTAACATGTAAAGTTGAAAGAAAGGGAAGAAATAGGAGTTGGTTCACAATTTGAAAGTGTTAAATTCAATTTTAAGTCCCGAAGGCTGTAAAGTGTCTAGTCTGAAGTTAAATTTTGTTACTCAAGTTTGTATTGTTATTCACTGGAACACTGCAGCATGCCAAGGACAGACAAGTGGGCATGCAAGCAGGACGCTGTGTTAAAATGACCAGCTACGGGAAGGTCGGGGTCTTGCTTGTGCACAAACCGGAGGTGTTCTGCAAAGTGCTCACTCAGTCTGCATTTGGTTTCTCCGATGTAGAGTAGGCTACATTGGATGCAGTGAATACAATACACAAGACTGGAGGAGGTACAGGTGAAATGCTGCTTCACCTGGAAAGACTATTCAGGCTCTTGGATGGTGAGTAGGGAGGAGGTGAAGGGGCGGGTGTTGCACCTTCTGCAGTTACATAGGAAGGTGCTGTGGAGAGGAGGAGTGGTGTTGGTGGTTGTGGAATAGACTAGGGTGTCTTGGAGGAAATGATCCTTGCAAAATGCAGACGAGGGGAACATGTCTTTTGTGGCATTCTGCTGGAGTTGTCTGAAATGGTGGAGAATGATCCTTTGAACGTAGAGGCTGGTAGGATGAAAAGTGAGGACAGGGGAACCCAATCACACTTTTGAGAGTAATGGGAAGAGGCAAGGGCGGAAGCATGAGTGATACGTTGAATGCAGTTGAGGGCGCTGTCAGCCGCAGTGGGTGGGAAACCATGTCAGCAGCGCTGTTTTGGAAGATGGCATCATCCGAACAGATGTGTGATGTAGGTGAAGCATCTGGGAGAATGGGATGGAGTCCTTGCAGAACGTGGGGTGTGACGAGCTGTGGGGAAGGTAGCTATAAGGAGTCAGTGGCTTTGTAGTGGGTGGCAGTTGACAGTTTATTCCCCAAAGTGGAGACTGAGGTCAAGGAAAGGAAGGGAAGTGTCAGAAATGGGCGATGTGAAAGTTATAGAGGAGTGGAAATTTGAGGCAAAATGAACAAATTTTTCTAAGTTCCTGGTGGGAGCATGAAGTGGCACAGAAGCAGTTGCCAGTGTACCGAGAAAAGAGTTGTGGGAGGGGGCCAGTGTAGGACTGGAACAAGGATTGTTCCATGTACCCTATAAAAGAGGCAGGCATAACTAGGACCCATACGGGTGCCCATAGTCACTCCTTTCACTTGGCGCAAGCGAGAATGAATTCAAGAAGAAATTGCTCAGTGAGCGAACAAATTAAGCCAAGCAGAGAAGAGTGGTGGTAGATGGGGATTGGTCAGGGCTCTGGTCAAGGAAGTAGCTGAGAGCTCTCGGGTCATCCTGTTGGGGAATGGAGTTATGGAGGGATAGAACATCCATGGCAAACAGGCGACTTCTCTTTTATTTTGGGTACATCAACTGCTTTGGGGCCGCTTCAGGACCATCCCTGAAGAAGGGTAATATCCGAAACGATGACTGCTCCTTTCCTCCACATGCTGCCTGGCTTGCTGTGTTTTTCCAGCCTCTTATTTGTCTACCTTGGATTGCAGCATCTGCAGTTTTTTGTTTTGTTTTGTTTCTAAGGTAGAGATTATGGGTTTGGAAATTGTTGTTGAAACAGCTTGGGTGACTTACTGCAGTGCATCTTGTTGCTGGTACACACTGCTGCAGTTGTGTGTTGGTGAAGAAGACAGTCGGTCTGAGACACGGTGGATGGAATGTCAATTGAGCAGGCTGCTTTGTTCGAGGTGGTGCTAAACTGCTGGAGTGTTTTTGGAGGCGCACTCTTCAGACAAAGCGGGAATGTTCTATTACAGTTCTAATGTGTGCCTTGTAGGTGGTGGACAGGCATTGGGGTGATGAATTGAGTTAATTGCCACAGAATTCCTAGCCTGTGTCCTGCTTTTGTAGCAGCAGTACTTATGTCTAATCCAGTTAGGTTACTGGCTAACTGTAATCTCCCAGATGCTGATAGTGGAAGATTTATCAAAAGCAAGGCTATTAAATGTAAAGGGTATTGGTTGGATTTATTGATTACCTGGCACTGTATGGCATTCATGTTGCCGCTTGTCAGCCCAAGCCTAGATATTGTCCATATCTTGATGCACATGACACAGCTTTAGTATCTGAGGAGTCACCAAGTCAACAATTGTCAGTGGACTTTCCGTGTCTGAGCTTGTGAAGGAGGAAAGGAATATAGCTGAATTAGATCTCCTCTCAATCTTCTAAATACTAGTGTGTATAGGCCTAACCTGCTCAGTCTTTCCTCCATAAAACGAGCCTTTTGTCTCTTGAATTAATCTTGTGAACCTTCTCCAATGCAATTATATCCTTTCTAAAGCAAGGGGGCCAAAACTGTACGCAATACTTAAGATGTGGTCTTGTCAGCAGGGACTGTGTGGTACTCGCATCTGCAACTGGTTTATGGTTGCAGTCAACTCGTTTTGTCCCTGTATTTTTGGTTCTTTCACCACTTGCCAAAGACCCAGTCTATCAGCTGTAGGACTTGGTAAGCTCGATCAGTAATAGTGCCACCTGGTCAGTCTTTATGATGGATGGTGAAGTCCCCCATTCAGAGTACATTCTGCACTCTTGCTACCCTCATTGCAACCTCCCAAGCCTTGACTAACATGGGGAGAACTGATTCAACAACTGAAGGGTTTGAGGAGGTAGATGGTGGTGGTGATCATCAAGTTGCCAATTTTTGATCTAATTCCATGAGCTTTCATGGAGTCCAGATTCAATATTAAGGATTCCCACTGCAACTCCACCTCGGCTGTAAACCATTCTGCAACTATCTGTGATGGGCTAGTCCCGTCAGTGGGACAGACATACCCAGGAATGGTGATAGTGATACCTGGGATATTCTGTCCATCCATCTATCAGTCAGTCATGAGACTGAGAGACTGACTGTCAGACAGAATTTTTGCAATTTTGGCACAAGCCCCCAGATGTTCAGAAGGAGAACTTAATCGGATTGACAGGGCTTGGTTTACCATTGCAGGTTTTCTTCCCTAAATAACATGAATGATATTAGCATTGAATGTTAATCTTCCTTGTCTTTCAAATGGCAATTCTGCAGGTTTGTTAATGTCTCCTTGTAATTTGTTGCACTCCTTGGTGTTGACCAATACCATCAATTTTGTGTCATGTGCAAATTTGAACTTGTTGGTTCTAAAATCTTAAATTATCGATACTGCTTTCAGCATTGGTGCTATTCTACCTTTTATCACCCGACCATATTCATTTGACTGTTACGTTGCAACTTATTGAGATTTTCAGAAAGTCTTCAATAAATTGCATTTACTGCATTACTCTTTTCTTGGTCTTACCTCTTCAAACAAAACTTGTTAGTCATGTTGTAGTTATTTTTGAAATCTGTGCTGACCACTCATTATTGACTTTTTTGGATTTCTGTATGTTCCAATATCCTTGCGTTTAGTAGGATTCCATTAATTTTTTGACCAACAGTATTAAGCTATCTGTCTGTGGTTTCCTGATTTATAGTTTATCTTCCTTTTTTGTAATGTTTGCTATCTGCTAGTCTTCTAGCATGACATGTCTCTACAATAAATTATTTAAAAACATGATTTGGTGCCAATGCTGTCTCTTCCCTAGATTAGAGATTACTGGCATAGATGAGACAGATATGGAGTTTGTGTTGCAACCCAAAGATAGTGGCATAAGTCTTCCTAGTTTTTGACTGGAAGAAATTAAGGCTTATCCAAGCCTTTTGGGCAAGCATTCTGATAGTAGAGTAATGGGAGGGGATATGTCAGTGTTCTTCTGAAAACTGACCTCGCATATTTTGATAATGCAGCCACAGGACAACTTCTAAATAAAGAAACAGGAGCAAGGATGGATCTTTTATCAATGTTGGAGATAATAATATTGTGGGTGCAGAAACTTCTTATTTGTGGAGATGCTTTGCATGTATGAGGGTGAAATCAAGTAAGGACTGTTGCAATCAGACAGCAAGTAAGAAAACTGGAAGTGGATGATGCAGTTAACAATTGAAGAAGGAGAGGCCCAGATAGATGAAGGAAATTTTGTTTGTAACCACAGGGCTGGATATTTCCAAGCAGTGGCAATTGCATACAGATTGCCATTTCACTCTTTTTATTTTACATTAAGAAAGAGGTCCACATTTATGTCAGGAAATACCAATACATATCAAGATTAAACTAGGTTTTTATAAGTCTAGTTCTCAAGTATTTACTTAACTGCAGTGGAATCCTCTGTTTTAAATGGATACTTTCAGAGGGTTCCAGGTGTAGGGAAATTACCCAGCAGAATCTTCAATTTCCTAGGCAGTTCCTATGGACTGAGCTGCATCGGAGATTCTGCAGAGCCCCAGTGCTCAAATCGCATCTACGTTTCAGAAACGACTATCAGAAAATCTAAGTCATTGAAAATGCCGCTTATAACTATTGAAGCTTGTATAATGCTGCAATGCAAACCTGATGGGAAGGAAATGTGGTGGGAGAAGATTGTTATGAGGTAATAATTAACATTTTATTTGTATGCTACTTAACTTGGTAATTGTGATGCGTACAGGGTTTTCGTCATTTAGTTTATATAGTCAATAATCAGTTGGCATCCCTCAACTGAGGCAAAGAATTTTCTTTTGAAGTAGGGGAGCTTGTGGGGGGAGCTCACAGATTTAGACCAATTTAGATTTCCATGGGCAATGATTGGAATAGCCTTTTGTTCACCATATTGGACGACATGTTATTATTCCTTGTAAAAGCATCCTCCTTTCAAAACTTAAAATATCTGTAGTTTTCATAATTTCACCTTTTTAAACAAATGTTAAAAGAACAAATATTTCCGAACTCTCTCTCGTGAAATTTGAGTTATTGAAATTTTAACAACTTTTTACATGGTAAAGGCTGGCAAAGCAGTATTTTTCACCATGACTGGCTTGACTGAATTTTATTCCAGGATTTGGTTCCAAACTTGCTCAAATGGTTTCTTGCACCACCCTTCTCCAGTTTATTTTCTTAATGCAATTTGTGCAAAGTGCTTTATTAATGCTTGTAACTTTTTTTAAAAATTTTCACTCTACAGGTGACATCAGAAGAAGGGCAGCAACTTGCAAGGCAGCTCAAAGTAACATACATGGAGGCTTCAGCCAAAATTCGATTGAATGTAGACCAAGCTTTTCATGAACTAGTCCGAGTTATAAGGTGGGAATAGTTAGCTTCTGAGCTTATTATCTTTGTTTGGGAGTGATTGCTGTGAAGCTTCCAAAATTGAACTGGAAAGTAGAATTCTCCTTCAAATTTTCATGATCACAGGACTGAATTTTTATTTTAAAAATCTTGGATATAAAGCTGAGTACTCAGTTATTTCCTTGAATGGGAGGAATTTGTTGGAATTTACAAGTTCAGCAACAATGGAATTTGAAGGTTTTGTTTTCTTTTTTTCATTCACTGGATGAGGGCATCGCTAGCTAGGCAGCATTTATTGTCTGTTCTTAATTGCTCAGAGGACAGTTAAGAGTCACCACATTGCTGTGAGTCTGGAGTCACATGTAGGCCAGACCAGGTAAGGATGGCAGTTTCCTTTCCTAAAGGACATTTCACTCGATAAGGATCATTTTGATTTCATCAAATGATAAATTGCAGTGGTGGAAAGCATTGGGAGAATAAAGATTGATCATTGAGGGGTGAAAAAAATCTGCTTATTCAAACATTATCGGTTACTAACTTTTGTCTTTTTGTGTTGAACTTCTCAATTTTTAAGTGAAAAAGTTGATTATACTGAGAAGAATTCATCATCATTGACAGACAAGCTATGAATTTTAATGAATGACTTTCTGTTAACACTATGGTTCAATATACTTGACATCAGAAATTACATTTCTTGTCAAAAGTAGAAAGTGTTGCTGAAATAAAATTGTTTCAGGTAGAACTACCTAATTTGAGCAAACGGGGCCTTGTGGAGAGCACATCCATGTTATCAGGAGGCATGAGGATGATTGACTTACTGATAATGAAAGTCATTACCAGTACAGTTTTGCATAGCCTGTTGGGGATCACTGTGGACCAATCACAGCACAGGTAGCACCAAGATTGGGCCTGTAATAAACAGTAAAGAGAATGTGTTGCAACTCTGGGAGGAATGTGCTGGTAAATTGAACCGTTGTACTCTGCGCTGTACCAAAAATGTAAATGTTTTATTTAACCACCCAAATGGTCTTCCTTTTATTTTCTACTTTTTGTATCCTTTTCCAGGATAAAGGAAATGTGCACCAGGATTCTGGAGTTAACTCAAAAATAATTTGGTTATTGGAAGTAAAGGTTTCCTCATAGCGCACCTGTTAATGACTAAGCAGCATTGCAGAATAAATCTCAAGCTTACACATTCACACACAGATGACAACACAAATGAGAGATGATAGGGATTTAAAACAAAAAAAAGTTTTTAAAAAAAAAAAAGTGGGCCCAAGAGACCCCCACAGGTCTACAGAGAGAACCATAACTCCGGCATTTTGTAAGGCAATCTGCAGCACAGGGCCTCCTCCAAACTAGTTTGTTCAGCAATTAAAGTCCCACAACCCATATCTTATTTCCAAAGCTTTGTTTCCCTTTGTGAAGAAAAAGTAATTGACATTTTGTAAACAGTAGATGAACTAAAATTAACTTTTAACTCTTAGTTCCAAAAAGTCACATGGTACATCTTCTTCAGCCCAGAAATTGTCTAAACCCTTGCATCTCTTTCAGCTTCCTTCACACAGCTGTTTTTAAGGATTATATATTCATAACTAATAACAAAAGAACATAAATGGTGAAATTTAGTGAACTGAATTTGGAAGTGATAGATTCTTCCTTTCAAAGATACATAGAGGCAATATAAGCAAAATGGTACAATTTTAAATGTAGCTTGGAGCAGAGATATTTAGGGGTTTGCTTACACACATCTTTGACTATGTCAAATCAAATAGATGAGGCTTCGCAAGTAGAGTCCAAAAGTAGGAAGGTAATGCTGAACAGTTAGAAATTGCATCTTAGGCCTCAGCTGGTGTATTCTCTCAGTTTGGGCCATCACACTTCACCTAAGGTCTTTGAGAGGATGCAAAGAAACAGCAATAGGATGGTCCCAGAGATGAGGAACTTCACTTAGTGGAGAGACTGGAGAAGCTAGGGCTGGAGCAGAGTGGGCTAAGGCAAGATTGCATTTGTTTGAGTTATTTGATAGAGAAAATAAGGATGAACTGTTTCTACTGGTAGAATGGTTGATATACAGAGGAAAGAGGTTTAGGATAATTGACCAAAGATCCAGAGGGCAGATTAGAATCTTTTCTGGATTTCAAAATCCCATGGGGTATTGAAAACTGAACAGCAGTTTTCAAAATGCACTGTGTACTAGCAAAAAGTAAATTTGCAAGGCTGTGAACAGGAAGCGAGGGATTGGAACTAACTAACTAACTTGTTCTTTCTGTATGATTAGCCAACTGGTAATCTTTGCTGTGTAATACTGTTAAGCTGTGTTTTCGGGCAAAGAGAGAATAATTCACTCTTATTTTTTTCTCATCCTCCCTGCAGAAGATTTCAAGAGCAAGAATGTCCTCCTTCTCCAGAACCTTCGCAAAATGAGAAAGACAGTAGTGGCTGTCACTGTGTCCTATTTTGAGATGATGTTGCCTATACTCACCCAGATCTGCCAAACCACATGTTCCTATTTCTGCCTTCAAAATCATTTTGTGTGTCTATCAGTATTGCCTCTTTACCTGCATGCTTACTGTTTGGCCGCAGAGAGCCTTAGTCTGATGAAGAAATTTGCTGTGTAATGCTCTTGAGGAGCAGGGAAATTTGCCACTCTTTCCTCAAGATTCCAGGTTAAATTTTAAGGAAACAAACACTAAGACTGCTACTTAGTATGTTGCAGTTCTATTTGTGTCTCACAGTTCTATTTGTTTCAGGAATGATATTTCTACTAATTATGAAAGAAAATTTGGAATGTAAGTTGATTTGAGCTAATTTGCCTTGTGAAGTGTTTAAAATCCATGCTTACATGTCTCGTCCTAAGTGCCATTTAACTTCTTGTGCTATGGTTACATGCTAATCGGCTATTGTACATAAGGATCCTTTATTTCCAAAAAAAAAACGTATCAATTGATAATGAGGAAAGGGCAGCAACTAAGGGTGAACTGATTTTTTTTTTGCCCTGGATAACACACACAGAAATAAGCCTTAAACAGCACTTCATTGTTGGTAAGAGTCTGAGATTCATGTAATGCTGCAGTTTGTTCCAGTGGCCAAATCCAGTCAGTCTACTGTATTTATTTTAACAGTCCAGAGAGATTTTCAAGAAACAATGTGGCTAAGAACCTGTGATCTCACTGGATATGAACATTCTAGATTTTCTTTTTTATTATTTTAAAACAATTTCACATCATTGTTGAGGAGTTCCAAGTCTTTCTATTTGTCTTCCTTTGATGTGAGTGTATTTTGGGATAAGGGATTCAAAGTGCTAAATTGTAGTTGATTTTTCCTCATGTAATATAAAGAGATGGAATTGATCCTTCCATTGAAGATGATTAAATGTTTTGCTATATACTTTTATACATTATTTTCTTATCAAACTAGTTAACAAGTATTTTTATATGTTTGTAAACAAATATGCTTCCACAGCATAACTTGTGTATATGTAAAGATGAGTATTTAATTCTCACATTTCACTTTTAACTGACAATTATACGTATAATTTACAAAACTGTGGTAGTCATTTCCTAATGTCCTCATAGCAGCTGAATGTGTCCAGCTATATGTGGTCATGTGCCTGCAAAGTGTACCTACAGAGTTTTACAAGATTCTCCAGAATACTCTGACCAGGTATTACAAAGATGGATCTATTTCATAAGTGTGGAATTTGAGAAACTCCTGCTGATATTTTTTAGGTTTGACTGTGAATGGTCTCTGAGTACAAGTTCAGCAGATTTGTAACTTGGTTTGAGATTAGCTCTTTGAGCTGCATCACTGAAAGGTTGTACACAACTGTTCTGATACTGACCATAAATCAACTCCTTGAAGTTTGGTCTTACTATACCCTTGTATAGCTTCTGGTGCTAGAATAAAAGATGATTAATTTCGAAGAAGACCTATTATATTTGTCTCTCGTTTACTGTGACACTTTCTTCCTTCTGCTTGTGGATGTATTGCACTCAAAATTTATTTCTGGTCACTGTCTTGGTCTTTTGACCATCAACCAGAAGGTATGTTGGTGATTTTTCTTTTCTTCTGAAATGGATTGTTCTCATTATTATGCAGTGCACTGCCTAGAAGTCTGTTCCCAAAAGGTTGACTCTGCAATTTTTATTGGCCACAGGACATTTTTGCAAAACTTGTATGCGCTGAGTATTTAACCAAAGAGATGACGGGGCAGTATGAGAATCACAGGTGTTGCCGTTTTTGCAAAGAATAACTGTGTGGTATTTTAAAAAGTCAGCATGTTTCAGAAATGATACAAAGCTCCACATTCTGTTGGTAAGCACAGCATGTCGGATAGAATTCCCCATAAATAGGTGAATGGATAACAGGCTGGTTATGGGGAAGTTGGTTAACATTATGTTGAATTGAGCCATTGCAGATGTGTTGTAAAATTTGGCTGAGGGTGAGGTTTAACAAAAGTCTTTTGAGTTCTTTTCCTACTCCAGCTACATTTGTAAAATCTACTAGTATGACCTAATTACACTGGTTTGAATATGATTGAGTTTTAATGTTTCAGAAATGGGAGCCATCTAGCCTTTCATTATTTGGAGTATACATGTAATTTGGATTCAGAATCACAACCTAATAGTGCAAAAGAAGCCATTCAGCCCACTGCATGTGCTGGCTATTTATTACAACAGTCCAATTCGCCTCACTTCCTTGCTCTATACCCATAGCCCTATCTATTTTTCCTCCTTGGATCTACCCTGTAATGTCTGTTTGAAAATTAAATATATGAACTTCGCTCCTGACTTCAATGTAGCCTGACAATGGCAAACCCAGCCCTGTCAATCCTCTATTTTAACATCTTGGAATTGTGCCAAATAGGGAAACTGGCATTGGACAAAAGAGCTAAACTCCAGAGGTGAGAATGACTGCCCTTGATATTAAGGTGGCATTTGATAAAATGTGTCATTGTGTGTTAACAGAACTGGGATTGATAGGAATTGGGGTTGGGGAATGTTGGGAAAATGATCTGTTCACTGGTTGGAGTCATGTCTAGCACAGTGGAAGATGGTGTTAGTTGAAGGAACCACTGATCAGGTCCTGTGGACATGCCAAGCTTTCAATTCCAACTTGTGTTTTTAAGAGGATTCCTACAGCCAACAAACAACTGCAGGTATAAATTCAGTGCTTTCTGGAGGATCTTGGAATGTCACACCTGCTGAGCTGTCAAGGAACTTTCAAAGGGGTAGATTTAAAAGGGACCGCAAACTGAACAGTAATTTCTTAGGTATTATCTCATACTGAAAAGAATTCCAACTAATCTGTGAAGCCTCAAATCCCAAAATTGACTGCACAACTATCAATATTCCACCATCCAGTTTTTGCAAATGATTGGGATACTGATGCATATGTTGCAACTTATATTTTTGGACTAACTTGTCGTTTCTGATCAATGCATGTCCATAGTCATCTTGCATTTCCTAACTAAGTTTTACTCTCTTGGTACCTCATGAAAGCCTTGTGAAATTCGCTGTTTGGTCAGAGAGAAAGGTATCCACAAGTGAGGCAATCTTTTATAAATTAACCTTGTGGTGACCTCTGTGGGAGCAGGTGACTAAAGAAGGGGAGCCAGTTAATTCTGTGACGTTTTGTATCCTGGGTAAAACAGTAAGAACTTGGAACTTTGTTCAGTGTCTGTTTGTAATGAGGTGAATCATTTCAGTCCAAGGGCATCACTGCAGGAGTTTCCCAGGGTAGATACTTACCAATCAGCTGTTCAGAAATGTTGTTATACGTGTTCTAAAGCAGGTGAGACTTGAACCTTGGCCTCCTGGCTTGGTGGTAGGGACACTACTACTGCAATACAAGAGCTCCTGGTTGCCTAGAGCACTGTCTTGGACCTAATAATCTTGAACAACTTCATCGATAACTGACCTTCCATCATAAGGTACGAGTGGGGATGTTTGCTAATGCTTGCACCATTTTCAGAATGATTGACTCCTCAGATACTGAAGTTGTCTGTGTCCACTGGCAGCATGACCTGGACAACATGTTGGCTTGGGAGGATAAGTGGCAAGAGCCACACAAGTGACAGGCAAGGAACATCTTCAACAAAAGAGAATCTAAGCACAGCACGGCAATTTACAATCACTGGCATTACCATCGCTGAACTCCCCCACCATCAACGTCGTGAAGGTCAGCACTGACCATAAAGCTGAGCTGGACCTGGGATGTAAATATTGTGACTAGAAGAACCAGTCAGAAGTAAGGAATTATGTGCCGAGTAACCCTTATCCTTATTCCCAATATCTATCATGGAATATTCTCTTTCCTGGATGGGTGCAGTTTAAAGAACAGCACTCAACACGACAAAGCAGTCCACTTGATTGGCACGTTGTTCACCACCTTCAATGTTCACTGTCTTCAGTGCCAATGTACAGTGGCAGTAGTGTGTACCATCTGCAAGATGCAATGCAGTAATTCATAAAATCTTGAACAGCACTTTCAAACCCATGACCTCAATGACTAAGATAGACAAGGGCAGCACGTACTTTGGAATAGCACCACCAGCAATTTCCCCTCAAATCACACACCATTATGACTTTATAGAATCATAGAACCTCAGTGTGGAAACAAGCCATTCGGCCCATTGAGTCAGCACCAACCCTCTGAACAGCATGCCATTCAGACCCATCCCTGATCCTGTCCCTGTAACCCAGCATTTCCCATGGCTAATTCACCAAACCTACACATCCCTGGACATTATGGGCAATTTAACATGGCTGATCCACCTAACCTGCACATCTTTGGACTGTGGAAGGAAACTGGGGCACCCGGAGGAAACCCATGCAGACACAGGGAGAATGTGCAAACTCCATACAGTCGTCTAAGGCTGGAATCAAACCTGGGTCTCTGGCGCTGTGAGGTTGAACAGAATGGTTTCAGGAGTAGCCTTGCTGGCCTAAATTTAGCAAATGTGACATCCTCTATGAAAGCAAATCACAAATTTGCTTGATGCAGTATGTGACTGCAAAGCAGGCAGGTCACCCATTTGAGACAAATCAGAATGTTCACCTCAGACGGTTCAGTTTTTGGAACATTGTTCCTCAAAGGACAGTACAGTGGAAACAGATATTTTGAATATTTTTAATGCAGAGGTAGGTAGCTTTTTTATTTGAAAGCAGGTGAAACGCTATTAGGGATGTGGCAATATGGAATGACGTAATCAGCCATGATCCTAATAGTGGAGCAGGCTTGAGGAGCCGAGAGGCCTATTTCTGCTTTGAAACTGTAAGCCTCAGTATCATTTCCTTCCTATATTACCCATGATCAAACATTGGTACAGACTCAATAGGCCAAGTGGCCTAATTCTGCTCCTTTAGGGGGTGCTTCAGTGGTTAGCACTGCTGCCTCAATGCCAGGGACCCTGGTTCGATTCCAGCCCTGGTGACTGTCTGTGTGGAGTTTGCAAGTTCTCTCCGTTGTCTGCATGGGTTCCCTCCGGGAATGACGTTAATGTGGAGGTAACGTTGCAGTTGAGCAAATCGAGTGGTTCAGGAGAAGTCATGGGACGTTAAAGACTGGAAAGTTGGGACCTGAAAGCGTAGTTGCAAGTAATCTAGGTACATTCTTTTTCAAGAGTACATATGAAGTAACTTGGAATAGAAAAAGAGGGAGTGTAGTTGGAGAGTGATAAAGCTGCATGGAGTAGTAAGATCAAGCAGTGACCTTCAAAATGGGTTGGAGAGTTGACATGAAGGGAAGGATTATGGGAGGAAAAGAGGGCAGTGAACTAGGGAGACAGAGCAGGAGAAGTTGACGTGGAGATGGAAATCACCAAGAATGAGAAGACAATTAATACAGAGAACTGGCTGAAGGAGTACAGCAGTGAGGATGCTGTGCCTTGGCAGGAAATGTTTATGATACTTGGAGGTGAGTGATAGGAACAATGATTTTAAATGCTAGGGACATGGTGGAAGAAAGTGAATTGGTAAATCTAAGAAACAGATGGTGAATTTTCTCTTAAAGAGAAATGTGTCATCAAATCACAACAAGTTTCTGGCTGGCAAAGAACTCAGCCATGCTGCAAAGAGGGTACTGCTCTCTGGAGTGTTGAGCAAGTGTTCAAAAGGTCAATGCTGGGAGAGGCAAGCTGTTTGGATAGAGAATGATAAAATTAACCCTCAGCAAGCACATCCGACAGAAGGTCAGCAAGAGAGATGGATAGAGCAGTCATGGTTGCTCCAAACTGCCACGATGGTCCCTTTGGAGAATGTCAAGAGAAGCAGAAAAGGAGTCGAGACAGAGAACAGCAGGAGAATAGGAAAGTCAAGCAGTAAAACAGGAACAAGGGGGTAGTCAGGGAAGAAATAAAAGGAGCACAGTGACACCTGGAAGGGTGTAGATTAGAAAATGAAAACGTGCTAGTAAACCAGGAAATTCGAGTGGTGTATCCAAAATAGGTAGAAAGGAAAATAAGATTGTCCAGAACTCAAGTTTGACATCACGTTGTGTTGATAGGGTGACTTGAGTCTGTGTTACATTCTTCTGCAATATGTAAATATACCAATCATATATCAAGAATTGGTAAAAAAATTTTTTTTTTGCAAAACTACATACAATGTTAACTGGTAGACTTTGCTTGTATGTTGGTGTCAACTGCTGCTCCTGTAGCCAGCGTTCAGTGTTATGGCGTTAGTATATCAGAACCTATCTGGGTAGTCGTGATTGACAGCACTCTAAGACAGGCTTGCAGAAAGGTACACATACATCACATTAGCTTGCCATTGGAGCTCTGGTTGTTGAATACTGCTAATGGCTCAGTTTCAGGCTGAGCTATTGAAGGAGGAAGTTGGAATCTAAGAATACATCTTGGTCAAATTAGAAACAGGCAAGTGGATCGCCAACTAAATCCAGGAGACTTGGCTTTGTTGTATCTACTAT